CCCCAAAACCCCAAAACCCCAAAACCCCGTAGAGTTGGATAGGGTCAAACTGCAATAGTTGCAAATAATTTAATTATAATTAAGGTTTAGAATATAATATCTAAAAATGAAATCCATACCTTAGAAGATTGATCACTTTTTGTGGAGCAGCCAGGAAGAATACTTCAACAATGTAGGCTACTCAGCACCATTTACCAGTTTCGTCAACATGCAGATCGTTAGACTCGTAAGTCTCTTGCTTATCTTGGTGATTTGGGTGATGAATTTCTACATTAATGTCAAGAAAGTTGTAATTTACTTGAACTTCTGGGCATTGACCTTTACTCTGCTTTCTCTGGGATTCCTTTTCGTCTCCTCAGGCAGACAAGTCATTGAGAAAAAACTTAAAGAGAGAGGAGAACCAGTTGAGGAAAAGGATAGATCACACACCTGGAAGAAGGGAGTGCTGTTCTATACACTAGCTTGGCCATTCACTGTTGCTTCAAATGTTACTTTCTTCACATTCTTCTATAAGGATCAGACTTGCCAAACTTACATAGATTTTGGTTTCGAGTAATGGAGAGGATATGTCATTTTCCTATCAGTCATAATGCCCCTCGTTGCTTTGATAGTAGATTTCTTTATCAACAGACTAGTTATGTCTCAAAAGCACATGATTTTAACTGTATTACTCACTGTACTTTACATCTTCTTGTCCTTCTTGGGATCTCTTGCCTAAAATAGACCTGTCTATGGAGATCATCTTGGCTATGTTGCTCATGATGACTTTAAATATGAATACATGACACTTCCAAAAAGTGACTGGGGCATTGAAAAGCTTTAAGAATGCAAAGATTATTATTCAGATTGGTTTGGCAGAACTGGCATCTAACCCAACTGGACAAAGACAGGAGTTTCCTTAGCTACAATCTTCGGCACTATAATTCTCTCACATTTAATAATCACTGCAATTTCAAACATCAAATCAAAAAGATACTTCCTTAGAGATGGTAAAATCAATGAACAAAAAGCTCTTTTACTAGACAAATAATCTAGCAGTGAGAAGAAAAACTGATAATGCCACAAGTCAGTTAATTTGATGAGAATTAGAAGCGAGTATATATGTAATCTAATTTTTAAAGCATTAATCAAATTCTTTAAAGTTGTATCAGATTCATATATAAGGGGTTTTGGGGTTTTGGGGTTTTGGGGTTTTGGGG